GTTGGCCTTACGAGTTGTGATTGGTAGCCGGGGTACCTCAATAGTACGGTGGGGTGCGGCATGTCCATGCTCCCTTAGGAAATGAAGCGCATCTTCCAGCACAACATGGGCATTGGTGCCCGAAACTCCAAAAGAGTTGATCGAGACTCTGCGGACGCCCCTCTTGGTCTCGGGCCAGGGAATCGAGGTAGTCGGAAACTCGAGATGCCATTCGACCGGGATCTTGTGGTTTCTTTCCTGGAACCATGCGTTCGCCGGAATGATACCTCTCTCCACGCACAAGACGCCCTTGATGAAAGACGCAATGCCCGAGTTGCCTTCAGTATGGCCAATGTTGCTCTTCAGGGCACCGATGTACAGAGGCTGTTTCGCCGATCGATACCGCGTGAACACCTCACTAATGGCAGCAGCCTCTGTTGGATCGCCAACATTCGTACCCGTTCCATGAGCCTCAAAGAAGCGTGTGTCTGAGGGGTCGAGCTTGGCTTGCTCATACGTCAATCGCATAATCTCAGCCTGGGCCTCCTTGGCAGGTGCTGTAAGACCTGGAGAATGCCCATCATGGTTGCACCCGGTATTGCGAATAACGGCGCGAATTGCTAGCGAAACCGTACGTGTCAGAATTTTCAAGTCGCGCTCAATTTTCTGGCAAGTAGGAAGGTTGTACTTACTGTCTCCGTCACGTAGAGCATCGGACATCCTTTTCAGGACGACAGCTGCGATGCCTTCGCCTCTCCCGTATCCGTTTGCCCTGCTGTCAAAACTGTAAGATGTAAGTCAAACCCCCCACTTCCTGGCACCCCCCTGTTTCTGGCACCCACAAAAACGATGGGATCACAACCCAACCTCCTCATTACTATTAACTATTGATCCTCAACCACACCCACTACAATACAACTGCCAGCCTCACTAGGGCATTCAGAGTCGCTGGATTCAGCCGTAATAACCTCCTTTTCACCCGCTTCGATTTGAGCCCGATGGATATCCCTGATGTTCGCAAACTTCGTGTTGGGATCGATCTGAACAGTCTTCCTCTTCCTAACTGCAGCGTTGGTAACTTGAGCCTCAGGTGAGCCAGCTGCTGCTGGGCAGCTGCCAGTTGCCAGGCCTGCTCTGTGCCTTTTTCACCTTCCTGAACAGCAGCCGTTGAGTGCTGGTATCATTGTCGAGTTGGGTGTATAAGTGCAGTTGACCGCTGAGCTCTGCCAGCTTCCTGGGTGTCGACCAGACCACTGCAGAGGAAGCAGAATCCCATGGCTCAACAGGGGTAGTTTGTTGACCATTATGGCATCGCTTTTGCCCCGACTGGTTGGTTTGGGTGTGGTGGGCTTAGCAGAAGGCTCAGGTAATACCATAGGGTTCATCAGGGCTTAACCATCGCTACAGGGTGTAGACCAGTCCACTTCCAACCACTTCTGATGTTCGAGACTGATAGACCAGCAAGTCGAGCCTTCTGGTAACAGTCCAGGAAGTTCCTTTACCTATAATGGTAGAGTCGTTCCATTGAGACAAGTAACCGAGCTCCTTCCGATAGGCTGACTTAACAGGGCTGAAGACAGACTGGTCAAGTGGCTGGAGGACATGAGAGGAGTGTGGTGGTAAGAACAGTAAATGGATATTGTTAATATAGCAATTCCACATGAAGTCTGTCGTCGTATGACTCCCATGCCCATCCACAATCAACAGTCGAGCCTCGCCCTCAGCCTCGGGCATAGTCTGTGGGATAAACACCTTCTCTAACCATTCAATGGCAGTTAAGTCTGTAGTCCAGCCATTATCTGTTGCTGTAAACTCCCACCCATCGTATGGAACCAGATGTAATGGAAACCACTGTTGTTGGACCGTCTTCCCTTGAAAATGATAAGAGGACGAAGTGCCCTACCCAAGGCTGAGATACACTCAATGATAGAGACCCATGCCCTCGACCCAGGTTGTTTCTTGCGAACAGACGTCGTCTCAGCCATGCCCAGCACTAACCCATTAGCTCCCTGACCCTCGAGGATGCCAGTCTCATCCATATTATATCTGTTGGCTGGTTTGATGTCCTTGATCTCAGGGATAGCAAGGAACTTAAACCAGTTCCTAATGACCTCAGTAGATGCCCCATTAACGCGTCTAGAATCGATGGAACGACTTCTCTGAACCTTAATGATAGGGTTCCTTCTCACGAAGGCATAGATCCAGCCTTTTCCTAATGGTTTGGTATCCCCAGCAGCAGCCAGAACTCGCTCTGCGAATTCCTTCACCTGTTGGTGCGTTGGTGCGAGGCCCAGCGAAGCCTGAATGCGAACCCATTGTGCCAGCTTACTCTCCTGGTCAGGAGACAGCCTCTGCCAGTCAGCAAAGCCACTTTCCTAGTCTGACCACCTTGGAGACGTAGTTGGAGGGTTGATCGTGGTATCCCATACTCCAATGAGGCTCTCTTTGACTCTTGCCGTTTGAGATGTCCTCGAGAGCCTGACGAAGCTGATCTTCGGTATATTGAGGCATTAGATATAGAAGAAGGTATGTGCAAAAAATGAGCCCATTTGGACTCGAATTGAAAATGTTGTGATAAAAGGAGGTTGGGGGTGGGCATTGCGTTGTGGTGGATTTTCGCGTTTTTGTGGGTGCCAGAAACAGGGGGGTGCCGGGAAGTGGGGGGTTTGACTTACCTCTATAAATATGTTCGTGTACAACCCCTCTGCATTGCCTTATTATCGTGCTTCTTTACTATCCTAAAACAATCATTCAATACTGCCCTTCTCAATACTATCAAGATGCCTTCGACTCTAAAGATCGCCCTTCTAGCCTTCGCCACCCTCGTTGCCGCGGTGCCATCCACCTCTAACAATGGCGACGGTAATCTTTTCGTAGTAGAAAGTCAGTGAAAACTCCACTCAATCCACGCTACCTTGTTATTAACTGGATGAGATACAGAGCGATGCGAGGCAGAGTTAGCCAAATGCAATAAGAGCAGCGACTGCTGCGGTCCTGCACCAGTTGCTTGTAGCTACGTTCCAAAATGCGGTGATAACCGTTGCGTGTCTCGAGCTCCTGGTGCATCATCCAACCCCACGTGCCTCTAGATAGCTGCTACGTGTCGAGATAAGCAGGATTGCCATAAGATAAGGCTAGGGATTACTTGTGGATCCGGTAACTGCGTGGTACTCTGGCAAACCAATTGGGTTCTAAATTTATAACTACTTGATACGAGGACGCTCCCCATCATGTGATGTGTCTCGGCGGACTTAGCGGGCATTGTTTCACTATGAATAAGGAAACAAGGTCTTTCTGACTCCTTCACAAGCCACTCCACATGAGGTTCATCTCGCCAATCACAAATCAGATTTCCCAGATTATCTATAGATGGACGAGTATCCTTAATTAAATCGTACACATCTACTCATTGAAAGATGTAACCGTCTTGAGACAGATGTCTCGGAGAGCCTGCTATGAACTTGAGTTTAAGGATAAACAAACCTATATTCATGTCCCGACCCGAAGTACTTCAGTTCTATCCCTATATACGTCCAATCACTATCCTAAGGCAGCTTGCACGTGGGGGGGCTATATTCTAGTCCGGTCAACAATCAGATACAAATGCAGATCAGTATCAACAAGCAGCTTGATTGCAGCCCTGTTTCTTAATCTGGATTCAAGAGAATCTCCGAGGCTACCTGGCCGCAGAGCCTGAGGGTGCGTGGCCTAATACTATTTTGTTATTAAGCTACACCTTGCTGCACGTATGCTTCTGGAACAGCTGAAGGCATTAGAGGCTAGGAAAGAGAGAACACTATAATGCCCATGTTTCGGGTATCTATTATGATGTAGATGGTGAATATTTGCTTGAACTTTATATTCTACTTATTTTATATAGAAATGACAAGAGCGTCTCGCGGCCGCTGGGAGCTTGGCTTTCTCTGACCTACAAAAAACAGTATTCGTCTTCACTAGTTCTGTATCTGCATCGCATCACCGACGTGCGAAGGCAAAGCTCTACTAAGGGCAGTGTGGGTCTGTCCCGCCAGCTATGCGGCGCTGATAACCTAAAATACGACGTCCTCGTGACCACTATGTAGGACGCTCTAGACGAAAAGGAGGTTGGAGCGTTAGAAGAGACAGAGCTTGTCAGAAATGAGGATTTCTGGGTTTGCATGGTGGAGAAATGAAGTAGAGTGGAGCAACGCTACGATATTTTCGAATCTGCTAGAAATCTCATCGTAATCTTTCTTCCTTTCTCGAGACTGCGAACAGCGTCTAGAGTCCCCACCATAGATTGAGCTGGCGATCCAAAGCGGAATGGCGGATCAGCACAAGGTCCTTGAAAGCACTTTGGCCGGGTAAGAAGTGTGTAATACTTTGAATCCAGAGAAGGCAGGAAAGAGCATCAGGCCGCGTGCCCTATTATTATGATCGGAGAGGGCAGTTCGCGAGTCGTAGTAGTAGGTTCACACTCAAAGTTTCCTAATACTCAAGTTTTCATAGTACATTTGCAATGTATAACAACGGTCAGAAAAAGACGAAATAGTAATGCCGGTATCGCTTAAACGCTAATGTCACAAAGTTATAAACGAGCTTGCTAGTGGTACTAGCGCTATCAACTAATTGGGCTACAGCTTCCTAACTAGGTGTCATATTTCCCTTATGTCTTTATTCATATGGGTACTCTGATAAAATCTGTAATACTTGCAACCCTAATTTTCAGAACATATCTAAAAGAAGCTCTATATGCTGTAATCACGTTGGTATATAACTTTGTTGCCCTGCGAAAGAGTGGCTATGAATTCATAAAGTAAGGATATATACTAGACTAAACCTCAAGCCATCCGTGACATTCGAATACAGCTATCCATTGAGTTCAAATTCATTATTTCGCCAAGACGGATGAGCTCAGGGTTAACCGTCTACTACCGAACTCAATAGAAATGGTATTCGGAGACCAGAACTACATATAATGAATAAGACAGATCGCGATACTCAACATGGGCAATCAAGAACCATCTTCCAAACTATCAATATCAGGACCACATCGGTTTTGGGACTCGCGATCTTCGTCTACCCCTTGATTGTCCCCCCGGTGGTTCGTGTGGTGGTTTAGAGTTTGCAAGCCAGCCCTTTACATACGACCAGAGTCTTCTAAGTATGTCTCGAGCCCAGGAAAACATGTCTCCAAGCCAATCTAATAGAGTCTCCCATGGAATAAAATAGACTGCGGCCGCGACTCCAACCCCTACGAAGATTGCTGGGCCGGCAGCTGTTGCAATCATAGACCCTTTCGCAAAGGCAGCACCTACTTTGATGCTCATTATACCATATTGGTAGTGGACGAAGACACCACCTGTTGAAGCCGTGATAGCGGCCACCAGCTTCGAGCCACCGGCAAGCACGCCCATAACAGAAGCAATTATGCCTTTCCACTCCTTCAGCCATCCGTTGCCATCCATAGGTTGACTTCTCATCTTCTCAAACTGTCTTCGCAGCTTTTGCTTTTCGTCAGCGGTGAAGTCCCGTTCGAAGGTCCTTTTAGCCTCTGTCCAATGTTCACCTCTGGGGTCGATAGGGACTCCCACATTGGGGCCGAAGAACAAGCTACCCTTGTGTCGTCTAGATTGCCAGTTGCAAATCTTAGTGCCTCTGAATATCGAACCTCCATTGATGCAAAGTTGACCACCAGTACTGGAGCAAGTCTCAGCCCGCAGCACCATTAGCAGCTTAACATTGTGTGGCATCTTGAAGTATATGTCATCGAACTGACTGCTGACGATCAGCACGAGTTCTCGTATCTCGTCCATTCTTCCAAGAACTCGGAGCTCATATTCAAGTGTAATGTCGGTGGCCACAATTATCCTTGAAGTTCCTTTCATGGTAGTAGAGGGTCAGAAATCCCGTTCAAGTAGACGCGGCGAACACGAGCTATTAAGAGGGGGTTCGAGTCGACTCACCTCTCCAGAATCTCTTTTTCCAGAACTTCAGAGGGTGCCTCTTCAAGCTTTCCAACTTCTTGTTGAGCCGATCTGCACCTCTTTCACCACAAACGACTACAAAGGTTCGGTCTCTCGCTGTCTGGGGCCTTCCCAATGCCTGTTTGGATTTCTCAGAGGAGTCCTTGAACTTCCTCATGTCGACTTTGATGAAGGCTAATAACGCATTGACTTCACGATTGAAATCGTCGCCGATTTCATCAGAAGAAGTCGTCAGATCGGTGGCAGTGGACAGTGCATCAGATTCAGACCGATTGCAGTACATGATGGCTAAGCTCCGCTGTTGCTGAAAATAGTTAGATAATGGACCGATCATGCACTCAGCTCTGATCGTATAAGAATGGGGTTGCAAGACCTCAGAGAGCCCGTTAATACGAAGAGTGTCTCGGAAGTTGTTTGATGGAAGAATCGTTGCAGCACGCCCAGGAAAAGGGCTGCTCTCCCTCTCGAGAACATCAGGCCTACTTATACCCATATACTTCCTCATTTTGTGGAATCGGCCCTCCTCAGCAAAGGTATCCGGACGTCTTTCTCCCTCAAACACACAATTTCAAGGCTCAGGAGCACGTTCGACTCGGGTAACACAGCGTGAAGCCATCTGTCATCTGATTACTGTTGTACTGCGCTATCTATTCCCAGATGATTGGCTTCGGGCACTCACTAGTCGTAAGACAGTACCACAATGCGGCTTGTCATTAACACAGCCAATTTCTAAGCCAATTACCGTACAAGGAACTTTAATGCAAGGCGGACCAATTGCGGAGTTAATCCCTTAGCTGTGTGTCACATTTCAATTTGCGAGGGCCCTGGAGCTGTTCACGCAATCCGATAGCAGCTAGCTTCGAGGTATTTCCTGATGGCCCCAATAAATTGGTTAGGTAGTCAAATGCATGCAGCGCTGGACATGGTGACGTTGATGCCTTTCCACGCCAACATATTTGCCTGCCATCCTATTTACGATTACGACACCCGCCTTCCCCTCTTTCCACTATCCATCGGGGAAGCCTTCAACTCTCTTTCTTCCATCATCTATCCTTGCTGCGAGGCTACATTCCGGGCAACAAACCTTTCATTGAGATTCACCTTTTCCCATAATCATCGGCTCACTTCTGTAGCTCACGATGTCGCTGAATGCACACGACGAGCAGGCGACTTCCGCTGTCGTGCACCCGAGGAAAAAGCCTAAAGTCACCAAGCAACCCAAGTATACCATTGCAGAATGGGATGCAAAGAAAGAGATCATCATTTCTCTTTATATTCTCGGAAACTGGCCGTTGAGTATGGTTGAGGGGTGTATGCATGTCGTGTTCGGCTTCGACGCCTCGTCAGTCAATCTCCTCCATCTATTCAGAGTTATCGACTCATTTTAGTTTGTGACCGCAGAAAGTCCATGTACAAGAAAAAGCTCAAGGAATGGCATGTTTTCAAAAATGAATCATCGACTCAACCTCAAAGTCGCATGGACGGTCCGTTTACGCCACTCGTCAAGCGACGACGATGTGCTGGGGCAAAGCCCCAGATACTAGCAGGATACCAATCGGGGGCCGCATTCTCATGGCGTACGCATGATCTGATGCTGGATTGGCCAAATGCAGAGCTGAAAGCTTTGGCCTGCATGCTCTGGTCCTCAGGCAATTATCTCATGGGCCTCTTCGATCAGGGCCGTCCAGGAGAGACTTCATCTGGATGGAAAGTGAACTTATTCGGTTTGACGCCCCCACAGGGTCTTGTGGACTACTCGACAGAGTGGAAAGCGATTGCCGATCAATGCCATGGCGCTTCAACTTTGATCAGCCAGGGAAATGGCACCCAGCAGAAGTGCCAAAGAACTCTTCTGAACGTCTTCAAAGGCATCGACCAGCTCGCACAACAGGAGGATCCCTGGATATTGGTCTACCTATGGAGGATCATACTATACTTGCGAGGGATTTCATACCGTATCGAGAACAAGAAAGTGGGCATTCCATCCACAAGTCTTGGACCTCATAACGATCACCTGGTCGGCCATGTCATTTCCAGCTTAGCGGGACTCTTCATCATTCGCAAAGGATCCAGTGAGATGGTATACTGTCTCAACTCGTTACGCGTCTTCTCGCTCGATAGAATGAAGCTAGCTATTGAAAGGGTCTTCAAGTTCTGCACGGACTCATTTCAAAAGCTACTCGGCGGATCGCATCCAGTGGTTCTCATCATGGTCGCTCGATTCTTGAGATACTGGCCAGCAGCGCTCGCTGATAATGTATTGGTGAATTACGGGACCCTCGTGGCTCGCTCCGAAACTGAGTTCGGGTCTTCTGATGAGCGTACGATTTTCTTCCTGACTGAGTATATGTACGTTGCGTACTATCATGGGCATAATATCACCTTGACATATCAGCTGGCTTCTGACCTTTGTCAGAGATCTGAGGAACTGGGGCCTGTTCCACAATGGGGGGGAAAAACATATGGGTTGGTGCTTGCCTCCAAGCTACTGTCGAGAATTGACAAAGAGAAGGGAAATATTGACCGCTGGCATGGACGTCTAACTACTCTCGCCGAGAAGCTGCGAAACGGCGATCGGGAATGCCAAACAAGGGCCTTACAGATCCGACGCATGATGGCACACTGGTATCGTGAGGCGGGTAACATGGAGCGGGCTCAGGAACAGAGGGGGCATGCTGATAAAATATTCATAACGATGAGAGAACTCGGAGTGGAACAAGGCGACTGGAACCTGAACTGGCCGTTCGAAAGTGGACAATGCCGTCCTTCTGAACTTGCTCGTTTACAGGCAACACACCTAGACAGGGCGTTCACTTGGCAAGACAAACTTTGCTTCTGACAGGGTTCGCAACGGATATACACTTGATTCCAAATAGTAAAGTATGTACTGGAAATTGCACCTCATCTTCTTCTCCCAGTTGATCCTTATCCGACGACGGGTAAGGTTGGCGGAGTCTTCCTTTGACATCGCTTGGTCTAAACAAGCTAATGTTCTCGACTCGAGACGCAACAATGATGCTAGCTGCATCAGGGGCTTGACATTACCGACTTGAACCATTTACTGGTAAGAAGCGCGGTAGGTGTCCCAGTAGCTGTGCATGCGAGTCTCCTGGCCATCCGTGAAGTGGGTGAAGCAGTCACTATGTAGTAATCAGTATAGAGGTTCATCATTGATCGTATAGATAGAAGCTTACTCGTCAGAGTAATCCATGTAGTTGGTGACAGGGTCGGTGCCAGCCAGGGTGGGGCAGGTGTCACGGCCAATCTCGCAGTTGTAGGCCTCCTCAGCCTCGAAGGGGGTATCAGAGACGTAGTCACCGTTGCCGCCGCACTGGTATCCCTCAAAGGTGTGGTAGACTTAATGGGGAAGTCAGCTCCATTCAATGTGTGCTCGAGGTAGAAACTTACGTCCAAGCCAGTGGCCGACCTCGTGGGTGGCAGTGTGGCCAAGGTTGTACTGGGGGAGGCTGCCGCCGGGGACAGAAGTGGAGCGGATGACAACACCGTCGTAGTAGAAAGCAGAGGAACCGGTGGTGACAGTCTGGGGGAAGTAGGCATATCCGAGGTAGGGGGTACCGGGGAGGAAGTAGACGTTGAGATCGGCGTAGGTGCCCTTGCGGAGCGATCTCTTCATAGCGAGCTCGGCGCTGTCGGAAGCCCACTGGCTGTTGATGGTCCAATCGACACCGGCCTGGGCGAAAGAGACATCGTGAGGAGCGTAAGCCTCGTTGAGGACATCCAACTGAGCGTTCAGGGTGGCCTGGGTAAGGTAACCACCGCTGACCGAGTTGGAAGTGGCAATAACGTGCCAGTAGACATTGACCGTGATGGGAGCAAGGCGAGTAGCGTTGCCTTCGACGCGAGCGTTATCCTCCTTGAGCTGAAGGCGCTGGGCAACCTCGATCTGCTCTTCCGTGGGGGAAGGGGTGCCGCAGGAACGCTGGGCAAGAGCAGTGGAGGCGGCCGCAAGGGCGGAGACGAAGAGAGTCTTGAACTGCATATTGAAGAAGAGACCGGACACCTGACTGGAGTTGGCTTGACTGGGGTGGGATGAGGATGAAAGAGCACCTTGATGGCTGATGTTTCGACAGTTTATATAATTTCTTTGCCCTCTACTGTCTGCTGTTGAGTTTACATACCTTCCCAAGGTCCATATCACCAGCGCTTGAGTCTCTCGACTTCAACCTTCCTCAAATGGAAGAGACCGAAAGTCTAGCAACATCATGGCTAGGCTCGTCGTACGTAAACTGGGGACTGTTCAACGCTCTTTTGGCTGGTGGTCTTGAATGTGGCTCCATCACTGGGGAGTTGATTCATGCTCAGAACATGGCCACCTGCTGAGTTTGTCCTGTTGCAGACCGTTGAAATTGACGACAGGAGCTAATGACCTTGCGTGATAAGCCGGCTGGGCGGCATATCTCGAGTTGCCAAGATGAAATGCGGATTTTGCCATCTAGCAGGCAATGCCAAGACGGTGACTGTAGCCAAGAAAGGCACCAAGTCCTGAGTCCCGTTCGTATCTTGTGCAACGGTGTGATTGAACCTAGCAGATGCCGTTGATCGAGTTGCCTCTTACGCCAATCGTGAACAAATCATTGGCGGACAGCGCGTAAAGCTGGGCTCAATCGCGGTCATTGCAGTTCCCACTGCCAGCTCTTGGCTCTCTTGGCAGCCTTGGCGGTTGACTACCATTGTCCCTAATTACGATGGGGATTGGCCGATTCAAGCTTATATTTATGAGTATCGGGCGTTGCCGACCAACGAGGATGTGACCTTCCTTAATTTGACGTCTGTTCCACCCCGGATGCGAGGAAATCCTTCGAAAAACCCCGCGCTGCTCCGCCCACATCCCGGGAGTTGAGCACCGCCCATGTCCCCACATCTCCGGGGGTATCTCGATCTGCCGATTGTTCCTCCCGCTAAGTCCCGCTGGATTCCGCCGGCTGTAATTGTTTTCCGACCGCCGTCTTATCTCTTTTGGCCCAATACGTCCACCATTTGGTGATCGAGCTATGGCTCGGCTGTACATGTACATGTAATCATCCATCGCCTCGGTGAGGACCGTGAGGTAAATCAATCCTCTTTCTCCCAATGTTCCATTTCTAATTTTACAGTTTCTGGGTTACTGCTGTGGACAGGCAGAAGAGAGTAGTTTACGGGGTTCTTGAAAACTAACAGGGTTGCCCAAACACCTTTTAAGGGCGGGGCACTACTCACTTTTGAAATGAGTTCTCATAGGTAGAAAGATGCTCTTGCACTGTTGCTCAAGTGGTCAATTCGTCAATGTTCCTCATTTGAAGATTAGAAGGCAGGGAGTAGGAGTATCGTGCCTCGGTGGCAAAATCAGCTGTGCGCGCGATATGTACTAGCAGCTGTGCTACAGAGTCACAGTCATTATGATACCACTAGTACCTTAGTCATGTTAACCCTCTCCCCCTTGCCCTTTCTTCAACCATTGAGCAACTTCATGGGACTTTATCGACTCCGTCGATACCTTTGCAGAGGCATGAACACTCCGAACTATCCGCTGCCCGCAATATGTACTCGCGGGACGTCATTGAGCTTTCCTGGGCGGCAGTTCATAATGACGGATTGAAGAACGATATACAGTGTGATTTTATAACTTCTTCCTGGCTAATTCCAGTATACTCAAATCTACGATCACTCACAATTCAAATCAGCAAATAATCTGTTCTCTCTAGTTTACTTAGGTTTAAAGTTCTCAAAGAATTGTTACACCTACCTGATATATAATGACCCTCTTACGACATCTTATTCACATGGATATAGCAGGTGAAACAAATAACAATAATTTCTACTTTACTCAAATAATAGCAAGGTCGGAATAATTGCATAGAAAGTTTGAACTTCGGCGGAAGTCTTTGGAATAATCGTTACATCGCCCACACATTAGCAATTGGACTTCGGGTGATTATCACTACTCACATACCAACCTATTCTTTCAAATTAGTTCTATCGTATTATTCGAGTGCACCCCACTGATATAAAAGCCCATTGTACCAAATCGAAATTAACTACGTTAGAAGTTGTTCTTACTGATTTCTTTCTCCCTGTTTTCCCTTAGATAGCTTCGACTACTTATAAGATTCTCTAGCTCCATCATTTGGGCAATCAGCCCTTAATGATCTCTACCCACTATACATCTTGTCTTCTGAACTCCTTTAAAGTCTCAAGTTCTCATTCACGATTCACGAGAGGTTTATGTAACCTTTTCTGAACATCAGCAGCTTTCATTAGTGTCTTACAGGCAACATACAGCCCTCTTCGACTTATTGCAGATAGTACAAACTCACCGCTGCTCGAGAGATTGAAAATTTGTTTTTCTATTCACGAACGAGTTGGCAGGTTGAACAAGTAGAGCGCAATTTCCCTGGCAGCATTTCTTAACAGCGGGTGGGAAGTTTTCCAACCACATGCCATGAATCTATTTCTGGCTTTACTAATGCATCATCTGCATGCAAGCGATCGAATGGCAAGAGGGCAAGGCGTTGGAGGTGGGTTGCTTGGATATGTCCAGGGTGTGATTGGGGCGTTGGAAGGCATCTTCGGCAATCCAACATCTTGCCCCTATTTCCCAAAGTGCGGGGATACTACATCTTTTACTTTTGTCATGAGTATAGCTTTGATTGCATTGTACGTTTGGCCCAATTTATCTACCATCTTCTGGAAAACGCGATGGGTATCTTCGGCACTCTCCTTGGCAATGCTGCCGCGCCAGCTCTCGCCTTCTTGCTTTGCTGGTGCGTCGTCCGGAGGGCTGCACTTTATGTCAAACTTCGACATTTTGGCGGTCCTTGGTGGAGTGGCCTCACGCACTGGCCTCACAGCAAGGCAATCATTAGTCCCAATTGCCACGAGTGGTACGCCGATATAAACGAAAGATATGGTGAGCACAACTACTTGCAGCTCACTTGTTGACTGGCGATCGCATGAACATTGATAATGCACATAACTTCCTGGAAGCTAACTTTCTCAAAGGTCTCATTGCCCGCATTGCTCCGGGAATTTTAGTGACCTCTTCTCCTGAGGTTTGGGCCCATGTCAATAGACATCCTGGATACAAGCGCTCCGATTGGTATTACCACGCTTGTCGAATTGAGTACCAGCGTGACAACGTCTTCTCTCAAACGGACAATGAGAAACACGAAAAGAGAAGGAAGCAAATGGCGCCAGGGGTATGATATCATCAGTAGTCACAGTTTTCTGCGAAAACGGGATGGCTAATCTGATCCTTGGTAACCAGTACTCCGGCAGAGAGAATCTAGACCTCGAACCTACGATTGATCAACGCCTTGAGGAGCTCCTCGGACTGATCAGATCCAAATATCTTTCGACTGACGGCAAAGTCACACCAATGGATTTGGCCAAAAAGATACAGTACTTTACTCTCGATGTAATCAGTTCTGTCGGGCTTGGGAAAGCGTTCGGCATGCTGCGGACTGACAGTGATGTGGATGACTACTTGAAGTCTACCGAGGAAGGTTTGTCTGCTATTAGTGTGGCCTGTGCTATCGGCATTAGCTGGATGGCTCAGTCGCCTATCATTGGCAAATTCATAGCTCCTTCACCTACTGACAAGAACGGTTTTGGTAAAATGATCGCAGCATGCTTCCGCTATGTTGACGAACGAACTGAAAAGCCAACGGACGAGAGGTCGGACATGCTTGCATCATTCATACGCCATGGACTAAATGGCGATGAGCTGAAGACTGAGGCACTGGAGCAAATCATTGCCGGATCAGATACGACCGCAGCTGCCATACGAGGGACACTCTTGCAAGTCATGACGAATCCCAGGGTTTATGCAAAACTACAGCA